CTTTTTTATGCACTTTCATACTAAATCTAGGTCTCCCCATCAATATCTTTTTAGTTGGATGAAATTCGTTGAATATTTAGAGAACCATTAATCTATATATTTTCGGTTGGTTGATTTTCCACACTTTTTACAGTCAGAAGATACTCATAGGACTACGAGGGAATTCTCTATCCATTTGACTCGCTTAGATGCTCTCGAGGCCAATGCATTGCAACCTCCTCATGTATCATGCGCGACTCGAGATTTTCCTTTCAAGGACTCCTCTTCGTGTGACACTCTACCAACTTTTTCGCTTGCTGGAGCTCCTCGCTTCCTTCCACGCTCTCAGGCCGCTTCTTTCGACTCTTCGTCTACATCATCTAGCTCTAGCTCTAGCTCCACTACCACGGCATCTGCAGTTTCATCTCCTGTCCCTATGGCTTCTCCCCATTTGCCATTATCCAGCCAATCTGACACCTTAACACATATCTGGCCAACTGCAACCGCAAGTAATCCAACTACCATAGCTGCATCCTCCGGAACGGATGCTATCTCCTCATCTTCTATCTCGTCTTCTATCGGCACCAGTCGATCAGCATTGGCATTAACTGCTACCTCTGTTGCAAGTGCCTCTGGCCTAGTTAATGACTCAAAGCTTTTGATCAAAGTGAGTCGCGATTGTGCAGATTTGTCCACCACACGGTCCCCCATCGCCTCGCTATCAGGGTCGTCGGCAGCTGCACCTTCACCAGACTGCTCCACTATTGCCACAACAACTCTTTCGGGTCATGACGATATTAGGCACCGTCTTGGCAGACCAACACCTGCTGAGAGTCGGTCTACTGTCGGGCCTACTGCCTCGGGTTCGAGTTCAGGCCCCGCCTCACGGGTGCTTCCGGGACGGAATGCTGTGGCGACAGCAGCATCAAGTGTCAGAGGCCGGGACTCAGGCCGCCCGTCACTGATGGAGGCCTTGTCTTCAGGGGTCTCTACGATCGATTCATCTTCACCATCATCCTCATCATCCCTCTCTCCTTCCACGAGCAGTACTGAGACTTCACTGGCCCAAGATGTTCTCTTGCGCACCAAATCAGTAAAGCAAGAACTCTCAGGTAGGCCTTTGTTTTGGACTAGGGACAAGAATTAGCTTACAATGGTAAAAATAAGTAACCTTTGGATTTGGAGAGCAATCTTTAAAGGTTTACTAATTGTTTACCTTGTTTTCGCAACTTGGTTGTATTGGCAGGAAGACCTAGAAGAAATCACCTATTCCTGAGTCCATAGTATGCATGGTAATTTTCAGAATCGGATCGTGGATTTGGTACATTCCCAGACGTTTTCTTGGCATCATGATCGGCATTTTCAGTGAGCCTTACCAGTCTTAACACTACACCACAACTTGTCAAAGGGGCAAGTGAAGTAGAACTTTTGACCAATTGTCTGCTAGACAGTTGTGATATCTCTTGTCCTGGCGTATTGACCTATCCTATATACTCGTATCCCTATCACACTTTCGTACTTATTTATTTAAATGAGGTATAGTGTGCTGGCGTTTTAGCCCCCCCCCCTCCACCTTTGAGCTAGGAGTGTTCATCTGAGTCTGCTACATTAGTCCGTCTCCTATCTCCCTGGTTCAGGTATTTCACTCGACACTTGGCACCCTATCTGTGCTACTAGAGGCGTTATTTCCCTCACTCTGCTTCAAGTTTTTAAAAGCGCCTATACTCACGCTTTACTGAGCATGCCCCTAGAATCTGGTTGGGAAAATAACTTGAGACTATAGATTGTCGTTCGACATGTGCACCGGGTAATTCTCATTTTCAAACCCTTACTACATGTACTTCGTCTGTGATTAAACACGCCTGCAGTTCGATACTTGCGTACCTTTCATTTCGTTTGAGAAGGCGGGTCCAAGGAATTCATAGATTGGCCTCACCGGATACCGAAACCCAGCTTCTTTTTTTATCTCATAAGTACTTATGGAGACAAACTTTTCGAAACTCATCAGTCTACACAAAGGCCAATAAACCAATGACTAGGAAAGTATGTTCTTCGCGTAGTATTATCCCTAAGTTTTGTATTCTAGATAGACTTAATTTGCCAAATTGAACTAAGAGGGATCTTATAAAAGTTTCTCATGATTTGGTTAAGGAAACACTTCTTCAAATCGTTACAAGATTACATAATTTGATCCGAACAAAAACCAGACTAAGGCAATCTTTGTCTTATACTCTTGATTCTGATGATTTCCAGAGGCTTCAATTGATGGCTGACACATTATATGATGTAGTATTTTGTCATATAGGGAATAGTCACGATATAAAACTTAAGGTCCTGGGAATTAGAATTAGATCTTTACATAACATTAGAATTAAGTCAAAGAATAAAGGAAAATAACCGTAGGTCGGAAAGTGGTTAACC